AATCGGAAGAGTGAGCAGGTGGTTGGCCATATTTCAGCCTTTGATATCGAAAACAAGGGGTTATTGACTCTCCATGGATGGGTTTGGATACCGTATGCTGGTGGGGATCGATGGGTGTTGATGGATGAGGCCCACAAGTCGATATTCTCCATTCATCCGGGGGCTACAAGGATGTATCTTGACCTGAACCTAGCTATTGGTGGCCGTGTATGAAGAGGGATGTGGCATGGTTTGTGGAGCGGTTCTTGACTTGCCAGAAGGTCAATGCCGAACATCAGCGCCCTCACAAAAAGTTGCAGCCCTTGGAGGTTCCACTGTGGAAGTGGGAGCATATCACGATTGATTTCATTATAAAATTTCAGAAGACTACGAAGGGATTTGAAGCTATATGGGTGATAGTTGATCGTTCGACGAAGAGTGCTCACTTATTATCCATACATGATAGCTCTTCTACCGAGAAATTGGCCGAGATCTATGTCTGAGAGGTTGTAGCACGTCATGGGGTACCGAATTTTATAGTGTCATACTGGGATGTTCGTTTTACTTCTAGATTTTGGAAGAGGTTTCATGAGGATTTGGGCACCCGATTACATTTCAGTACCGCCTATCATCCGTAGACAGACTGACAGAGTGAACAGACAATTCAGACGCTTGAGGATATGTTGCGGCCCTGCATCATTGATTTTGGTGGGAGCTGGGACTCCTAACTTCCTTTGGCTGAGTCTTCATACAACAAAAACCATCATGCGAGCATTGGCATGCCTCCCTTAGAGCTCTTGTATGGGAGGAAGTGTCAGACTCCTATCTGTTGGGGATAGGTCGGACAGAGAGTCATGGGGAGCACTGAGATAATGCTTATCCAACAGGCCAGATAGAGGTTGCTGACGGCCCAAAGCCACCATAAGAGTTACACAGATCGGCGACGCTTTGAGTTGGAGTTTCGAGTTGGAGATTTGGTGCTCTTGAAGGTATCACCTTGGAAAGGTGTTATCCGATTTAGGAAGCGGGGCAAGTTGGTCCCCAGGTTTATTGGCCCTTTCAGAGTGATAACCCGAGTGGGAAAGGTGGCATAGAGGTTAGAGTTGCCTGAGGAGTTGAGCCAGTTTCATGACACCTTCCACGTTTCCCGGTTAAGGAAATGTGTGGCCGATGAGATTGCTGTGGGCCCTTTGGAGGACATTCATATCGATGGTCACCTGAATTACATCGAGAGACCGGTGAGGATTCTGGATAGGAAAGTGAAGGCCTTGAGGAACAAGTTAGTGAACTTGGTCAAAGTTCAGTGGCAACATCAGAAAGGTTCGAAGTGGACTTGGGAGTCTGAGTCTGAGATGCGTGAGCATTACCCTGATCTATTCGTAGAGGTTGACTTCGAGGACGAAGTTTGATTCTAGTGGGAGAGAATTGTAACACCCATTGCCAAGTATTTCCATTTCAACCCTTAGTATTTAAATTTATTTACAATTAAGCCCCTTATTCTGGGCGTACAAGGTTTGTACGCCAGGCGTAAGTCAACATTAGAGTCGTGGAGGAGGAGGAGTACGCTGGGTGTACACGTGAGTACACCGGGCGTACTCGTGCAACTCTTTAACCTAAAATTTTTAGGGTTGTGTCCCCTATTTAAGCATCTTAATCCCCCTTGGACATTCTTATGACCAACCTCAACTCCTCTAAACCCTAAAATCGAAACCCTAGCCCTCGTGAGTGGGATTTGAAGCTTGTGAGTGATTTTTGAGTATTTTTGTTAGTGAAGGAAGATCATTAAAGAAGTGGTGTTGCATTCAAGCTTTTGGATCCAAAATCTACATCTCCTTATTCATCTTTTGAAGGTATAAAGTTTATACCTTGGAGCTTGTTTTGCTAGATCTTGTTTAAGCTTAGATTTATGTTCATTTTGTTCTAAAACCTTGATATTTGATAGTATGGAATACTCCAGAGCATATGAGCTGTTCTTTAAGACGTTTTAGGGTGCATAGAGTCATAAAAATGCTAGCTTGGCCCTTTCCTTTCTTCTATTTATGAGTTATGGAGTTTTTGATGAAGTGAAATGTTAAGGTTTTGGGATTAGGCTCTCTTTATCCATGCAAAGGCATAAAGTCATAGAATTTATGGATTAGGATACCTTTTAGAGTCAGATCTAAGGATTGGGTAAAGTGTCTTAATGATTAAGACCTTAAAAAGTGAGTTTTGGGATAAGCCATGTACGTCGTGCGTAATTCTGGCTACGCCCAGCGTAGCTAGTTGCAAACCTGGTCCTTTCTTGCCTTTCACTCTACACCCAACGTAGAGCTGAGTACACCACTCGTAATGGTCAGAGTGCTGACCTTTGACTTTCGTTGACTTTTTTTGACAAATTGTGCCTTAGGTGGATTTATGAGGGTTTTTGGGGCTTGGAAGGGGCAAAATGGTCTTCTTCCCTAAACGTGGATCAAACTTGGCTTGGGACTAATGGAGTATGGAAACTTAACTTAATTATTAATTAGGGTTAATTGATGTAATTATTAGGGGGAGTCTAGTTCCGACAGTTTGGGTGTAAGTTCTATCAGTCATCTGTGCAAGGTGAGTCTCCTCACTATTCTTACTTGTATCATAGAATATATATATATATATATATATATATATATATATATATATATATATATATATATATATATATATATATGTGTGTGTGTGTGTGTGTGTGTGTAACGACCAGCTAGGTCTATGTGTTATTACTGTAATATGTGTTAATGTGTGTGTTGAGACTTTGGGTAGTCTCCAGGGTTGCTGATAACCCACATGACATGCTGTTGGCCCACCGAGACTTCAGGTAGTCTCCAGGGTTGCTAATAACCCACTGCTATTTATTTTGTGTTGTGTTGTATGTGGTATTTTGGGGATCTCGCTAAGCTTCGTGCTTACAATTGTTGATTAAATGTGTTTCAGGTACTTCTTAGGATCGCGGGAAGGCGAAGCTTGATTGTACAAATTCTTCTGCAGTTTATGATTTCAGATATTTTAGGACACTCTGATATTTTGATGATGATCTGTATTGGACATTTGTGATTTTCTTGAGATGGTTTTTTATGAACAATGTTTTTATATGAATTTAAAAATGAAAAATTTGGTTTGGAAATTTGGATGTCACACACACACACACACACACACACACACATATATATATATATATATATATATATATATATATATATATATATACATACACATACAAACACACACACACACACACACACAGAGAGGGATGGGGAGGGAGAGAGAGAAAGAGAGAGGGTAGAAAGAAAGATAAAGAGAGGAAAGTTCTTTTGATACCAAAAGATTTGCGAGAACTTGAAAACTCCTACCTAGGGATGAGATTTAGAACCGGAAAACCGGACCAGAACCAGAATCGGACCGGAACCGGAACCGTCAGAACCCGAATATATAGAACCGATTCCGGTTCCAGGTTTAAAATTAGCTTTATCTGGGTTCTGGGTAATCCGAGTTTGGGTCCATCGGGTCCGGGTAAACCGGGTCTAAAAACCGGAACCAGTGTTAGGAACCGGAACCACTTTTAGGGCCGGAACCGGTTTTTGTGAAACATTTAAAAGATGCATATCTCATTCGTTTCAACTTCGATTGACATGCAGTTTTTTCCAACGTGTAGTTTAGAGTTTGCACATGATTTTAGACTATAAATTTGACATTTTTAGTTTTATATTCATTGACTTACAGTCCCCCAAAGTCGAGATATCAAAGCTGAAAGTTTTTAGTTTTTCAGTTTTTTTGTATTCTGTGAAAGTTTTAAAACATGCATATCTAATTCGTTTGAAATCGGATTAACATATGGTTTTTTCCAACATGTATTTTACAGTTTGTACATGAGTTTAGACTATAATTTTGTTATTTTGGTTTAATATTCAATGATTTACAGTCCCCCAAAGTCGGGATATCGAAACTGAAAAATTTCAACTTTTCAACTATTTCTTTTTGTACTTTGTATTATGTGAAAATGTTAACACATGCATATCTCATTTGTTTAAAGTCGGATTGAGATGCGGTTTTTTCCAGAGTGTAGTTTAGAATTTGTACATGATTTTACACTATAATTTTGTCAATTTTGATTTCATATTCAATGAGTTACAGTCCCCCAAAGTCGGGATATAATATGTAAATTTTCAAAGTTCAACCCACTAAGTAGTAAGTAATTACCAAAAACTTCCGTTTTTTTTCGGGTTTTCCGGTTCTAAACCCACTTTATCCGGTTCCAACCTACCCACTTTGATGTTTTCGGGTTTTCTGGTTCTAGACCCACTTTACCCAGTATCGTACCCGGAACCGGTTCCTATATACCGGTCCGGTTTCCGGTTCTACAAAATCCCGTTAACCGGTTCCGGGTTTTTCGGGTCCGGGTCCATCTGGTCTGGGTTTGGACCTACTTTCATCCCTACTCCTAACCTGCTCATTATTTGTCAAAACCAAAACAACTAATAATAAGGAAATGCAGCGTCTAAGCTATATCTAGGGTCAAAAAAAGATTTGTTGATTTTTTTGAAAAATATTATCATAAATATGCATGCATGCATATATATGAATCCTCAGTTATATCTGCGTCCGTAGTCTGTATGACTGCTAATTCATATATATGCATGCATGGATATCTGCGTCCGCAGTCCATATGACTGCAGACGCGCAGTTCTCAACTGCGGACGTTTAGTTCTCAAGTTCTCACAAATTGTTAAGTTATCACAAAACGCTCAATTTTGAACAATAAACATTGTTTTACACTACATGATTTTAGCGTTTAGTTTAAACAAAATGCTCTAAATCCAAAAGCTATCTCACGTAACGTTTAACAAAATATTACCCGCTACCAGCTAGTTTTGTGGAACATGCCCTTAATCTAAAACTGATCCGGACCGAACCATGCTCACCTCCAACATCATTTATAAGTTCTAATTTTTTTAAAATTTACATTTGATTTTTTATTATATAAAACAAAAAATTGACTAGATTCCATTTTCTTATCGGCCTTCTTCTTGAGTAATAGTCAGCTGATTAATTTCTGACTTACTAGAAGATGATGGCAACCTATCAATACTTTTTTTTGACACAAAAGTTGGTTCTCTAGGATCCGGTAGGCTCTCAATATCCATCCCCAACATTAAAACCACATTCACCATTGTTGGCCGATCTCCAGGGTCTTCTTGTATGCACAATAGCCCAACAATCATACATCTCAACACTTCAATCGAGTTGCATGATTCCACTAATGCTAGATCCACTAATTCAAGTGGCCTTTTCGCTTTCCACAAACCCCACGCCTGAAATGCATCCATAATTAGTTTTATAGAAAAATATGAATTTTTAACAGAAGATACGGGTTTAAGAAAACTCACATAGGATATAAGGCTAAAGGCTTGTTGATTATGATAATAACCGGTGTTTCTTTTCCCACTAATAATCTCCAGTAAAACTACTCCAAAGCTAAAAACATCAGATTTTACCGAGAACAATCCGTCCAACGCGTATTCGGGAGACATATAACCGCTGTATAATAAGAACTCATCAAGAAGATATTAAACATAATAAAAACTAATAAAAACCCAAACAAAATTATAATAAAAAAATATATTATTTTGTTATCTAAAAAGATAATATTCTAATTCAATTGTTTAATGCTGTATTAAGGTGTAATCAAAAGGGGTTTCCAACACCAAGGTTTTATTGTTCCAATCCATGTGACAAAACGAACATTTTTTTTTCTTTTCATTCCAACTAACTGAAAATTTTACTTCTTTCTCCTATTCCATCATACCAAAAGTACTACCTAGAATTATATAAACTTTTTTATTAGATTTCAACATATGATTTAGATTAGTACTTACTAGGTTCCAACAACTCTAGTGGTATTATCTTCGGTTTCTCGTCCTTTAACTATCTTTGCCAAACCAAAGTCTGAAATCTTTGGATTCATATCTTCATCTAATAACACATTACTTGCTTTCAAATCTCTATGAATAATCCTCAATCGTGAATCTTGGTGAAGATACAAAAGTCCTCGAGCAATCCCCATGATGATATCAAACCGTAAATCCCAATCAAGACACACAGAAAGCGTCCTATCTGCCAAAAATTCCATCAAATCCCGGGATTTTAGATTTCAGAGTTGAAGTTCTTCACAGATTATAATAATAGATTGGGAAGATACACATGAAACTAACCAAATATGAAACGATCCAAGCTTTTATTAGGCATGTATTCATAAAGTAGTATCATTTCATGATCTTTCATGCTGTATCCCAAGAGCTTAACAAGATTGCGATGTTGAAGTTTGCCAATCAAGACAACTTCATTTTTAAATTCCTTAAGCCCTTGTCCTGATTGGCTGGCCAACCTTTTCACTGCCACTTCACCAATTCCAGGAAGCATTCCCTAATATAATAAATTTGCATTTTGAAATTAGAGCAATCTTTCACCAATATAAGTATAATTTGATAACATGCTAATATAAAGAGTTGTTACCTTGTAAACAGGCCCAAATCCCCCTTGACCAAGTTTATTTGCAAGTGAAAAATTGTCGGTGGCAGATAATATGGTTTTGAATTCAATGAAAGGTACATCGATTCCTTTTCTTTCTTCTGCACTTAATATCCCTGGATCTACCAAATATCTAACATTTCTTCCATTGTCTTGAAACTCAAGTTCAAAATTCCCCCCTATATCTCTGCTTCCTGATACATGAATTAAAATCAAATAAACAAGACAAAACATGCTACATTTGTTTTAAACCATTAACTATTATTACAATACTTGAACTTCAAGATAAAATGATTATAATATTTTAAAAGAAATAAAACAGAGTTAGAGAGAAAGAAGCGTAGCATTCTGCATTTACCTTTTCTCTTCGTCCTTCTGTAGAATATAATGCCAATGCTACAAAGAAACACAAGACCACAAAATCCTGAAACGATTCCTGGGATGAAAAATAAAGTTTTTTCAAAAGTGATTAAAGACCGTTTTATATTGTATAGTCTGCAGGGGTCAAAAAGACAAGAATCACCTCCTACTAGAACTTTGGTATTGATTTTTGCAGTATTGTTAGAAAGATCGGACGCAGAAACTTTGATTTTTAATGGAAATGTCAGATTATTAGGATCTACCGAAAGAAAGAAACTTGATATATTATTCAAGCTCTCAGTGTTCAAAAGTAGACATTTATTGTCGATAACCCCATATGCCTCACAACTGCAGTCATCCAAGCAAGATCTTTGGCATGCCGCTTCATCCTTTGGAGTTGCTGTTTCCAGAAATTTGGAAACCGATTTAACTGGGAGATAACCTACAAGGAACCCAGGTTTTTCATCCTTAACACTACAATTAAATTCTATTTTTCTCACACACCCACCAGAGAAATCACTCTGATTCCAATCTCTCTCTGATCTTGGCTTGAAGCCACTCAAGCAATTACAGAATGGAAATTCAGTCTGCCTGCAACTACCAAAAGCCCCACACACAGCATAGATCTCACACACTACTCTAGGTTGAGACCAAAACATATTCCATTGAGCTGAAGTTTCCAAGTATGACAGCTGTCGAATCTGCCCTGTGACGTCCATGACGAATCTAGAAATAAGTGAGTCATTATATAAAGAATATGTAAAATAACTCTCGTTTTCATTGTCAACGTAGCTGAAGTTATAGATATAATTCAATCTCATTTCAGGTAAGGAGCTAAAGATTCTACCATTCCAAGATCCACTAGCCCAATACTCTACACTTCTATTCCATTTAATCACATACTGTTTCTCATCTTGATCAACCTCTAAAGAAAAGGGACCCATTGCAGGATCTTCTGTACTTTTCCATGAAGTGATAATCTGCTTAGTATTTGTACGCTTGTTGTATCCCAATTTGCCACCAGGCAAGAAAGTATCGGTTGGATGATCAAAACTTTGCCAAACTGGTGTGATTGAACTTGAACTTGAATTATATCTCAAAACTAAATTACCATCATCAAGAAGAACTACCGATGCAGAAGTTGTGGGTGTAGGTGTTGGGGTTATATTTGTTGACCAAATTTGGGTGTTTGACTCATTTAAGAGCACTAAGTTACCATTTACAATTTGCAATTTAGCAGACAATGCATCGGAGATGGGTGTCTCTCTATTTGCTACCCAGACTACTGTTTCAGGAGTTGTTCTGACGTTCTTGTACCAAATTCCTATGTAAAAATTGGGAGACTGACCTGGTTTAAAGAAACCCATTTCGAAATTTCCAGCATCAGAGATAAGGGTCTGGAATCCAGACAGAACTTGATTCACAGCTAAAGGATTATTAGCTCCTGATGACAGAGAAGGAATGGAAAACAAATACAAAAAGAAAAAGAAAAAGAAATGATCAGAAGCTTTTACAATCATGTTGATTATGCTGATTCCTACAAATTATGAACACCATACTTGGACAAACATAAGCATAACAAGGTAAGTACCCAAGGTTCAACCATATAACTGTTATTTTCAGTCTCCTCATTGTTTTTCGTTGACCCAGTCTTCTTCGTCAACACATTAACATCATATAACATTTACATTTTTCAACATCTAGCATTATTAAATCATTACATTTTCAACCTTGATTTCACATGATGATTTAACCATTACACAATTGTTTTACAATTTTTTTTACAAAATCATTTTAACATAATGACGAATTCGAATTTAAAATATTAATTTTGTTTACAATTGTATTTGTTTTTTAGATTTTTTTTACATTTGTTATTATAAATGGTTGTTTTTATAGTTTTTATGCTTTTATATCTTTATTTTTTATGCGCATGCAACTTTTAATATATATATATATATATATATATATATATATATATATATATATATATTTCATATTTAGAATTTTTTTTTTTATAAAATTTGTTTCCAAATTTATTACATATTCCTTTTCATACATGTAAGGTTGTATATACATATAATTAGTTGTGAGATCTATGTAGTATATGTGGTTATTAAAAAATAAAATAAAAACAGCCATGAAGATTTAAGAATTTAGAAAGTTTGAATATATAAAGAAAAAGACAAATATTTAACTATTAAAATTGAAGTGCTTATTTCTCTTTTTGAAGTTAAACACATAATTTAAATAAATAAACAATTAAAATAATTAGATTCAATTTAAAAATTTAGAAATTATAAGAAAAGTTGCATTAATAAATTTGATATACATTTATTATTATATTTATTACATTGAAATATAAGATAGAATTTAATAAAATAAAAAAAAAAACCACAAAATGACATATGACATAACACATGAAAAAATGACAAGTGGCAGAAATGATTTTTATTCATTATAGTAGATAATTCTTGTTTACATATTCATTTTAACGAACAAAAAAAGTACTGTTATGTATAATTAAACCTAATTCTTATATAAATTATATATTTCCGAAATCATTTACATAAAATTACTTTTATTACAATATTTTTATCCTAGTTTTTATGCATGTTTTTTTTAAGTTATTTTTATTATATTTACTCCTTTTAGAATTTTTTTACAACCTATTTTACATATTTTTTACAAATTCATCCAAAAATGCATATAGCAACCCACATGTAAACACACTAGTTCTATACATTTTTTTTGTCTTCGAGTAAATTACAGAAATTGTCCTATGGTTTAGTTGAATTTGGAGGTTCAATCCAACTTTCAAAAAGTTTGATCGGCAGCATACATGTGTTTCCAAAGCTTACGGTTTTGATCCCTAGTCCATGTAAAATAGCTATATCTTACCTTGATGTATTATTTTTGCTTTTATTATCTAAATAATAAAAAAATGATTATTATAGTAATATAGTGGGCCACCACCTTAGCCATCTCCATTTTACTTTGTTTATCTCATATATTCTCGGTGACAACCATCGCTGCTAAAAAACCTCCGAAAACCTCCAACCCTTCGCTTAACATTTGTATGGCATTATGACGCTATTTAGTGCTGTGCCATCCACTGTGTGAAATAAAAATCGAAAAATTAGAAAAATTAAAATAAAACTAAACAAATTTGAAAAAACCAGCGGTTTGATTTTTATATTCTAGATGAAACAAATTTTCAAGTCCAGTTTCGTTTTTCTATATATTGAAAAAAAAACACAATACTCACACTAACATCATCATATGTATACGTTAATTTATTAAGTATGCTAAAAATTAAAACAATTAACATGTATTTGCGATTTCTATTGAAATTTTAAAAAAATGAGCGATACAGTCCACCTTCCTGCACCAGCCCAATTCACAGAAAGGCCCAAACGAGAAAGACGCCCACCTGCACGTTTATTGGATTAACCATTTGTGCTGCCCTACAATCTCTTGGGAACAGAGTCAATCAAACAGGCCCATGTTTTCCTTTTATTTTACTGCACAATTAGTTGTTTCCTTTGTTTACCAAATTGAAAGTAGTTGATACAGGGTCATTTTTTTTTTTGAAGTATTTAAGTTTTGTAATTTTTGTTGAGGGATATACAGAAAATTGCTCCAAAAATATTTTCTTTCTGCTTTTGAATTCATGGGAGATCACGACCGACTCGAAGAGGTCGCATCATCTGGTGCTTTCATTGCCCTCATGCCTTCTGCACACAAACTCAAGCTCCGTCAATGTAAAGCCATATCGATATCCGCACTTTCAAAAACAAGTCATCGCAGAACTCATGAAAGAAATGCTTCATGATGGGATCATCCAACCGAGCCAAAGCCCGTACTCATCGCTAGTTCTTTTGGTTTGAAAGAAAGATGGCACTTGGCGGTTTTGTGTAGACTACCGGGCTCTAAACGCCATCACCATCAAAGATCGCTTCCGATTCTGTCAGTCGATGAACTTTTGGACGAGTTACATGGACCTACCATTTTTCCAAGACCGATCTCCATGCAGGATATCATCAAATTCGGGTTGCAACGAATGACATCCACAAAATGGCATTCCGTAGCACTGATGGCCATTATGAATTTTTAGCTATGCCATTCGGCTTGTCAAATACACCATCAACCTTCCAAGCAGCCATGAATGATTTATTTCGTGATGCTCTACGTCGTTTCGTCCTTCTATATTCTTTGACGAGATACTTGTATATAGTCGTTCTTTGGATCATCACTATGAGCACTTGCAATACGTTTTCAAGGCACTCCAACAAAACAAATACCATGCAAAGTTATCAAAATGTGTTTTTCGTGTTACCACAATGAACTATGTGGGTCACATTATTTCTGCACTGGGAGTTCAAGCAGACCCAGAAAAAATTGAGTCAATGCAACGTTCGCTGACGCCCCACTCTTTCACCTCCTTACGCGGATTTCTTGGCTTGAACGGCTACTACAGCAGATTTGTTTATCATTATGCAAAGATTGCAACACCGTTCACAAACATCCTTAAACTTTCACAGTTTGAGTGGAACCAGCAAGCCGCCTCTACCATTCTAGCATACATGCCAACACAGGCAGGATCAATGCATCATTCTTTTGGCAAGGTTTAAAAAAGATGTAGCTGACTTTATTAAAAAATGCAACAAGTGTCAACAGTACAAAACCCCTACACACAAGCCGTACGGAACACTTCAACCGCTACCAATACCGACTCAGGTATAGGACGACGTGTGGATGGATTTCATTACGGCTCTCCTACCATTTAATGGCAAGACAACCATCTGGGTAATTGTTGATTGCTTTTCAAAGTTTGCTCATTTTATTGCGTTACCAACTCATTTCACTGCCGCTTCACTTGCCACAATCTTCTTGCATGAGATTTATAGACTCCATGGCGTTCCTAAGACCATTGTATATGATCGCGAATCAGTTTTTGTGAGCCGATTTTGGCACAAGTTATTTGATCAATTGGGAACCAAGCTCCTCCATTCAAGCGCCTATCACCCTCAAACAGATGGACAAATCGAGGTGATTAACCGTTGCCTACTATTATATTGATGATGCTTCGCAGGGGAGGAACCACATAGTTGGAAGAAGTACTTATATCTTGCCGAGTTTTGGTATAACACTTCGGTCCACGCGACAATTGGGATGACACCGTTTGAAGCCCTATATGGTCGACTAGTCCCAACAATTCATGATTACCGCACAAGCGATTGAAAAATCCATTCCATTGATTCATCATTGACAGAGTGTCACCGATTATTGGGGCTTCTAAAAGGCAGTGCCGGTGATGAGGCGGTTGCACCTGTGCACATGCATAGGGCCTTCATCTTTTAGGGGCCCGATTTTTCTAAAACAAAAAATACTAATATACTATATCAATTTTGGCCCAAAGTAAAGTCAGTGCAAAAATAGACAAATAGTCCACTAATAGGTCACGTAAGGCAGAAGGCGGCATAAGCAATGTGATAAAACAAATTCGTAAATCGTTATTCACTCATTCTCCTTCTACTCTAAGCCTCTATTCCTCTAAGCGACACAACAATTCCTCTAAGCGACACAACAGGTCAGCAACGACAGCAACATAAAAGGAGATTGACAACTCAGCCTCAGCGAGATAGGCAAACAACAACGACATCAATATTCAATGGCAGTAGTCGGTTTTAATCTGTATTCTGTAATCACTATTTGTCTAATCAGGTCGACAATCACTCAATCAGGTAAATGATTATATCAAATTTAAATTTACAGTTTATCAATTAGATAATTAAGCAATTATCTTTATCAATTACATTATATTGACAAATTTAGTTTTTATCAGTTTTAATGTTTTATCAATTATCTTTATCAGTTTTCCTTGAAATCTTGATTCTTGATTCTTGAATACTTGAAATCTTGAATGTTGAAATCATGAATGAATGTTGTCATTGTTGGAATCCTAAACTAACTCAAAAACTGAAAATTGGAATGTTCTTCCCAAAATACCCCTGGGTTATATTATTGATTCGATCATTCAATGATTCTTGAATACTTGAAATCTTAAATGTTGAAATCTTGAATGTTGAATCATGAATGAATGTTTTCATTGTTGGAATCCTAAACTAACTCAAAAACTGAAAATTGGAATGTTCTTCCCAAAATACCCCTGGGTTATATTATTAATTTAATCATTCAATGATTCTTGAATACTTGAAATCTTAAATGTTGAAATCTTGAATGTTGAATCATGAATGAATGTTGTCATGTTGAGTCATTATTCGTTTACTGGGTTATGTTTTTAGTAATTACTTTATGTTGAAAATTGAAACTAATGAACTTGTAGTGATGAAGTCTAAACAATCATCCGGTAGTCGAAAACGTAAAAGCGAAAACTAGATGAAGAAAAAAGAAAGGTAGATGTCGGTGCTCTAGATAAGTTTATACATAGACAACCTGTTGAAACACATGTTGAAGAGCACATTGATGAGCATGGTCACGAGTAAGAGAATGTTGAAGAGCAAGAGCATATAGAAGTAGAAGAGGCAGAAGAGCAAGAGTCTATTAAAGAGCTTGTTGATATATGTGATCCAAGAAGGTGGGAAAAACTTAATTATGAGGAGATTAAACTTTTGGTCGAGAAAGATCCTAAACGAGATACTAGTGTTATGTATGGTCCCTACGATAAATTTGGTAGACGCTCTTCTGCAACTTTATATACAAGAACTTTATCAAATTTGGAAAGTGTGATAGAGAATGTTTAGTATATTCGAAAGAGCTCGACAGGGTATTTTGTTTCTATTGTAAAATGTTTAGAAAAGGGATTTCGAAAGGTAAATTGGGCGATGAAGGTTATTTAGATTGGCACCATGTAACCACTAGAGTTAAAGAACACGAAATTTCCTTGGATCATCTTACAAATAGGAAAAAGTGGTTTGATATGCATAAGATATTGAACTTGAACGAAACCATTGATAAAGTTCAATACAAACAATTCAAGAAAGAAAGTGATTACTGGAAACAAGTCCTTTTGAGAATCATTGTAGTAGTGAAATTTCTTGCTAAACATAATTTAGCATTCCATGGATCAAATGAAAAGTTGTATCAATAAGGTAACTATAAATTGTATATTTTTTTTTGTTCAAATTACACCAAATACCTTTTTGTTAATTATTATGATTGATTCCACTTCTTATTTGTTAATTGTATGTAACATGTAATGGAAATTTTTTGGGTGTCATTGAAATATTGGAAGAGTTTGACCCGGTTATGAAAGAACATGTGCGGCGAATCACAAGTGATGGGCTTCATGTACATTATCTTGGGCACAAGATCCAAAACAAACTAATACTTTTGATATCTCAAGAAATTAAAAAAGAGTTATCAAGAAGATAAAGGAAACAAAGTACTACTCAATCATACTTAATTGTACTCCTGATTCAGGCCACCAAGAACAAATGACTATAATAGTAAGGTATTTACAGTTATCATATAATTCTGTTACCGTCGATGAGTCATTTTTAGGTTTTTTGAATGTTGATGATACCACCGGAAAAGGACTACTTGATATTGCACTTGAGGAGTTAAATTCTCTTGGTCTTGAAATTGATGATATGTGTGGTCAAGGCTATGATAACAAAGCAAACATGAAAGGAAAACAGCAAGGAGTGAAAAAGAGATTTTTAGATCTAAATCCTAGAGCATTTTACACTCCTTGTGGTTGCCATTCTCTTAATCTAACATTATGTGATATGGCTAACAAGTGTGTTAAACGAAATAACTTTTTTGGACTCATCCAACACATTTATACTATCTTTGCATATTCTACTAAGAGATGGTAAATTTTGAAAAATAATGTTTAAGCTTGGAGTCTTAAATCATTGTGTCAAACTCGTTGGGAAAGTCGGGTTGAGAGTGGAAAGGCTATTAAACTGCAACTTGTTAATGTACGAGAAGCTTTACTTCACGTTGAAGAAAAAGATAATGATGTTGCAATTGCAAGTGAAGCAACTTCAATAGCAGAAAAAGAACTTGGTGACTTTGAATATTTGTTATCAATTGTTATGTGGTATCAATTATTAAACCATGTGAATATTGTGAGTAAAAAGTTACAATCAAATGATATGCATCTTGATAATGCTATTACAGAAATAAACATATTGATTGGGTACTTCAAGGATTATAGAGAAACTGGTTTTTCAAAAGCGATGGGGGAAAGCTAAGCAGATTGCTATTTAAATGGGTGTTGATCCAATATTTCCATAAAAGCGTTTGATTCAAAGGAAAAAAAGGTTTGATGAGAGTTCAAGTAGCACATAAGTTTCATTTACAGCTGAAGAGAATTTCAGAGTCAATTATTTCTTATACATTGTTGATCAAGCTATTTCTTCTTTTGAGACAAGATTTGAACAATTCAAAGAGTATGAAAAAGTATTTGGTTTTTTATTTCCATATAATTTGAGGGGAATTGAAGATAAAGATCTTAAATCTTCTTGTCATCATCTTGAAAAAGCACTCAAGTTTGAAGAAAGATCGGATATTGATGCCGAGGAACTTTATATAGAGTTGAAATTATTTGAGACATTGGAAACCAATGAATTTAACAGCCATGTAGATGTTTTAAAGTTTTTGAAAAAACTTGATTATTTCCCAATGCATGCATTGCATATAGGATTTTGTTGACTATTCCAGTAACGGTGGCATCAACAGAAAGGAGTTTCTCAAAATTGAAGTTTTTGAAATCTTACTTACGCTCCACAATGACCCAAGAAAGACTTAGCGGTTCGGCGATGATATCTATCGAGAACAAAATCTTAGAGAGTATAGACTTCGAAGAGTTGATCAACCAATTTGCAATCAAGAATGCTAGGAGCACTTCACGGGTAGTCGGTTAGCGTTGCGATATGTAATTACTTATTAAAATACTATGATTTTGCTATGTTTATTGCTAGAATGTTTATCGTCGTTTTAAAAAATATCAATTTATGTAATTTAATTCGTTACACGTTAATGCCTAAGGGCTTTTTTTTCCATCTCGTCCCGGGCATTTGAATCCTCAGGACCGGCCCTGCTTAAAGACACATTAGAACGTACACGCCAACGGATGGTTGACCAGGCAAATAAGCATCAGAATCACAAAAATTTCCCTGTGGGTGATCTCGTATACATACAACTTCAAAAGTACCGACAAAAGAAGACAGCCACAAGAAATCTCACAAACTCGCAAAGCGTTTTTATGGCCCTTTTTGCATTTTGGAGCGTATTGGGGAAGTAGCTTACTGCTTAGAGCTACCAACAGGCTCAAAAATACACCCAACCTTCCACGTTTCACTTTTACATCCTTGTGTGGGTGAACATCAGATCTCGTTGCTCCCTATTGATGAGGCTAATCAAAATAATGAAGTTCCCTTCATTCCAGAAGAGATTTTGAGTATTTGACTACAAAAACCAGCTGGCAGTTATGAAATTTTGGTTAAATGGTCAAATTATGACATATCAGAAGCTACATGGGAAAGATTGGGAGAATTTTGTGAAGGCCACCCCGAACTATAGAGCCTTGAGGACAAGGCCGTTGTCCAGCAAGGGGGAGTTGATATAGTCCACCTTTATACTCCAGCTTAATTCATAGAAAGGCCCAAACGAGAAAGACGCCCACCTGCATGTTTATTGGATTAATCATTTGTGATGCCCTACAATCTCTTGGGGAACAAAGTCAAACAACCAGACCCATGTTTTCCTTTTATTTTACTGCACAATTAGTTGTTTCCCTTGTTTACGTAATTGAATTCCTAAAAAGTAGAAGTAGTTGATAGTGAGTTGGTTTCTTTCTTTTTTTGAAGTATTTAAGTTTTGTAATTTTTGTTGAGGGATATACAGAATATTGCTCCAAAAATATTGTCTTTCTTCTTTTGAATTCTTGGGAGTTCACGACCGACTCGAAGAGGTCGTATCAATGAGCATGCATGTACATCTTATATTTTCTTTTAGAAAAGTATCAATTTTGTTAAATTTTATTAACATGGTTAATGGAGAACTCACAAACAAAAACAAAAACAAAAAATGAACTTTTTGTTTAGTTTTGGTTGTAGTATAAAACCAAACCGAACCATGTTCATTCAATGTCATCAGTGGCGGATCTAAGATTTATATAAGTTGGGGGCACAAAAATATATTCAAATACCAAACTTTTTCTGGTTGGGTCACACTATATTAACTACAGACTATTAGTTAGTAATTACAAATTCTAGAAAAAGGTATAAAAGTCATTTTATTTGAGTTGGGGACAATTGCCAAATAGAAACAAAAAAGGGATGATTTTGGGTAATTTCCAAAAAATGGACTAAAGTTTCAATTATGAGCAGAATAGGGACAATATTTGTAATTTTCTTGATTATTTATTGTTTTGCAATGATGATAACCCAATATGGGACCTAATAAAAAAAATTTATTTTTATTTATTTATTTATTTTTATATCAAATCTCAATTCATCATGTTTAGAAATTTCCCATCCATGGGAGCACGTGCCCCCACTCATCTCTACATGTATCCGCCCCAGCCGGTCACCTATAATTTTCTGAAAGTTACATTAGATTTTTTGTAGTTTGAATTTGAATTCAGTTTATTTTTTATCATATAAAACAAAAAATGAACAACATTCCACTTTTCTATCGTCCTTCTTCTTGAGTAATAGTCATTTGATTAATCTCCGATTTACTCTAAGACGATGGCAGCCTTTCAATACTTCTTTTCGACACAAAAGCCGGTTCTTTAGGTTCCGGGAGGCTCTCAATATCCATCCCCAACATTAAAACTACATTCACCATTGTTGGCCGATCTCGAGGGTCTTCTTGTATGCACAATAGCCCAACAATCATACATCTCAACACTTCAATGGAATTGCATGATTCCGCTAATGCCAAATCCACTAATTCCAATGCCCTTTTCGCTTTCCACAATTCCCACGCCTGAAATGCATCCAAAATTAGTTTTATAAAAAATGTTAACACAAAAAACGGGTTTAAGAAGACTCACATAGGATATAAGGCTAAAGGCTTGTTGATTATGATAATAACCCGTGTTTCTTTTCCCACTAATAATCTCCAATATAACTACTCCAAAACTAAAAACATCGGATTTTATCGAAAACAATCCGTCCAGCGCGTATTCGGGAGACATATAGCCGCTGTATAATAAAAACTCAAAATTTTTTAAACATAATAAAATCTCATCAAAACCCAAATAAGATTATAATATTTTTTTATCTACAAAAATAATATTGTAATTTAATCGAAATCGTGAAATTCCTTTAAAAATATTCGTGTTATTAGAAATTGCTTAAATAAAATGGGTTATATACAAATTTTCATTCCATTTTCTGATGGAATGGAAAAAGAACGGCTAAGAAATGAAAATTAAAGAATTGAAAGAATTTCATTCCTACATGAATGATTTAATCTTTCCATTCCATAAGACAAAAACGACATTTTTTTTCATTCCTTCTCCGATTCCAGCATACCAAAAACACTACCTAGAATTACATAAAATTTATTAGATTTGAACACACGATTTAGATTAGTACTTACTAGGTTCCAACAACTCTGGTGGTATTATCTTCAGTCTCTCGGCCTTTAACTATCTTTGCCAAACCAAAGTCTGAAATCTTGGGATTCATATCTTCATCTAATAACACATTACTTGCTTTCAAATCTCTATGAATAATCCTCAATCGTGAATCTTGGTGAAGATACAAAGGTCCTCGAGCAATCCCCATGATGATATCAAACCGTAAATCCCAATCAAGACACATAGAAAGGGTCTTAACTGCAAAAATCCCATTAAATCCCAGGATTTTAGATTTTAGAGTTAAAGTTGTTCACAAAATGGAAAAAGAGATTGAGAAATATGTGAAACTAACCAAAGATGAAACGGTCCAAGCTTTTATTTTGCATGTATTCATAGAGTAGTATCATTTCATGATCCTTCATGCTGTAACCTAATAGCCTAACAAGATTACGATGTTGAAGTTTTCCAATTAACAAAACTTCATTTTTGAATTCCTTGAGCCCTTGTCCAGATTGGCTTGCAAATCTTTTCACCGCCACTTCACCTAATCCAGGGAGAATTCCCTAAGATAATGACCAACAACATATGATTAACTCTCCAAACTCCATTTTTTTATACATAATTAATTTCCCTTTTGCAGTGAGAGCAACCTTTTACCAAGTTAAACGTCAAACATGTTGGTGATTTGTTATCATCAAGGTTATTTAAGTGTAATGGGATTACTTTGTTGACTAAAAATGATCTTGATAAATATTAAACAAGTAAGGAAAGTGTGGAGTATACACTTGTTTAAGTTTGATCAAGTATCAAAGTATATTGTCATTTAGGGGCGAAGCCCCTGAACGAACGGGGGTCCGGGGGCAGCGCCCTGGGAGCGGGGTCCAAGGGGCGGCAGCCCCTGGCGGGGTCCAAGGGGCAGAGCCCCTGGGGTCGAGTTGTATTAAAAATGCATCAGAAAATCCAAACTTTGAATATTTGACCCGATTTTGACTTAGCATTAATCCTTATACAAAACCCGGATTTATAACAGTTTGACTGTTGAGAAAAAACTGTTATATGACAGTTTTGACAGTTTTTTCAGATAAGGAAGGTTTATAACCAAATTTTAGTCAGTTTTCTGGTACTCACGAAATTACACCATCTCATTCTCTTTCTTTCTCTCTAATTTTCTCTGAGTCTTATCCAATTGAGGATTTGGGAGTACCACCCAAATACTTCGATTTGAAAGTGATTATCACGATTCTCAGATTTCCAAGTGCCACTAAACCATATTTCTAACAAAACATTATTCATTGATTCCCATGAAAGTTGCAAACATTTACATGGTATTGATTTGGATTCATAAGATTTCTTTAGGTGTGTATTCTTTGGAATAAGTCCAACAATTAAAGTCTCTCCTTTGGGAATCTCTTCCTTTAATCAAAGATCATATACGATTGTAGACACAATAGTTTTCCTAAATAGCTTCTAGTATCTTTAATAAATATGATACTATGGCTATATTTTGCATACTAGTTGAAAAGCTAACCGATAGCTGAAAAGATTGTTCTTAGCTGAAAAGATAACTGATAAAAAGTGACATTTGGTAAAAGATAGATGATAAAAAATAACATTTGGTAAAAATTAGTCGACAAGTTAGCATGGAATATATAAAATGACATAAAAGGGGATTTAGAAGAATATTTTTTTTATAATTAATGAAGGTTATATTTGGGAAAATTTTTAAAAAACTTCTGAAAAAACTAGTTTATAAACTACTTTTTTGTTTGTCAAATATGACAACTTAAAAGGAGAATTCTCTATAAAATAAAAAGAGGATACGGCAATCGATCGATACATGGTACATGAGCCTTGTGGCAAAGGGATTTTAGCTACACATATGGCATATACTCAATACTTAAAAATCTCCTCACTCGTAGTTAAGTTGAATCCAGATGAGGTTGGCAAAGGATTAATGAGGAGTTGTATGGGGTCATATTGCCACTTTTGTAGCAAAATGAGATTGGCAATTACATCAACTCAAGATGAAAAATTCCCCGCTTCATGGTAACATTGATGAGGAGATGTACACGATTCCTTCAAGATATACATAATCTAACAAGACCAAAGTTGTTTGCAAATTGGAAAGGACATTGTATGGACCAAAACAGTTACCATGGGCATGATTTCACCTATTTAGTTTAGTTATGTGTGTGTGTGTGTATATATATATATATATATATATATATATATATACATATATATATACATATATCTTCTCTATTCTAATAAAAGAATAGTTTTAATCTCCTTTTGACATGTGTCACCCAAATACAACTCCTCATTAATATTAAGCCACTTGTCAAGGTGATATATTAGACAATAGTTCAAAATTTAAATTTACTTTTTCTAATTATATGTTAAATTTGAAATTATAATAACTTTAAAATTTTGATATATCTCTTAGTTAATATTTTATTTAAAATAATTGATTAATAGTTATGAGTTTTTACTATGAAAGTTGAATTAATTTTATAACTCGTGGTTCACACGGGTTATAAACTAGTATATATATATATATATATATATATATATATATATATATATATATATATATATATATATTGTTTCCAAAGTAACTCTAACCACCACAAAGAAAGGTGACAACAATACTCTGTGGGGATGATATGATATATCAAGGCTACAAGAACAATAACAATTCTCTGTTTAGAAATTGAAAATTTAGGAGCGGAAGCTAATTTACGTATGTCATACTTGCTGGATATTGCTTACGTGGCAAGTCATTTAATGCATAATTTTATATGATATGGGGGTCATGATTAGAATCCTTCGCCATCTAATAAACTCATCACCAATAAGAAAACTAATGCTCTTCACTTGGCAGGAAATATCTTGTGTACAAAGTCTATGGAAGAGATGCAAGCTAGAAAAGTACAATTTGACAACACTTACATGATATGAGTATTGCTAATGTGTGACTTGGAATTTAATTACCCCAATGAATAACCCGAAAAGAAGTGAAGAACTCAAATGATGATTTATAAGGGATAAGTGTTTGGAGTAGTTAATCCTGATTTACTTGTATTTACTTGTATATGGGCTTGACCCTGTAGTTGCTAAGGTTTAGAGTTATAAATATTTGAAGTTAGAGATTCCAATGTAATCACTTTTGAATCAGTCAAGTGATAGAAGGATTTTCGGTTCCTCCCATGGACGAAGGTCATCCTTATGTCGTTTTATTGTTTTCTTTTGCCTTCTTGCGTATCAAGTATAGTTTGCTTATAAGCTAATATAAAGACTTGTTACCTTGTAAACAGGGCCGAATCCTCCTTGTCCAAGTTTATTTGCTGGTGAAAAATAGTCCGTGGCAGATAATATGGCTTTGAATTCAATGAAAGGTACATCGATTCCTTTTCTTTCTTCTGCACTTAATATCCCTGGATCTACCAAATATCTAACATTTCTTCCATTGTCTTGAAACTCAAGTTCAAAATTTTTTCGGTTCTCTTCTCTGCTTCCTGACTTAGCCACATACATAATATTAAATAAAGAACACCAAATACCCTTTGAGTTAAAAAGAAAACAAGCAAAGCATTTATACCTTGTCTTTTCACCCTTCTGTAGAATATACTGCCAATGCTGCAAAGAAACACAAGACCGCAAAACCCTGAAATGATTCCTGCGATGGAAAAGATTTTTTTTTTTTTTTTAATATTATATACAATGAAAGGATAAAAAGACAAGAAAACTGGAAGTTGGAATTAAACCAACTTAAGGTTACCTGCTACTAGCACTTTGGTACTGATTTTTGCAGCATTGTTAGGAAGATCTGAGGAAGAAACTTTGATGTTGAGTGGAAATGTCCTACTATTAGAATCATTAGAAACAAACCGAAGTGATACATTATTCATGTTTTCATTGTTCCAAAGTCGACATATGTTCAAGATAAAAGTATACGCATCACAACTGCAGTCATCCAAGCATGATCTTCTGCATGCTGACTCATCCAATTTCGATTCCGTAGTTTCAGATACCGGAGTATCAGTTTGAAGAAATGTGGAAAGATAACTGATAGGGATATAACCTTCGATGAACCCATGTTTTTCTTCCTTCATTCCACAATTGAATTCCGTTCTTCTCACACACCCATCAGAGAAATCACTTAGATTCCAATCATTCAGTGATTTAGGCACAAAAGCAGTCAAGCAACTACAGAAAGGTAATTCGGTTTGACTACAAATACCAAAAGGCCCACAAAAAGAAAACACCTGACATTGTGTTGTAGGTTGAGACCAAAACATATTCCATTGAGCTGAAGTTTCCAAGTATGACAGCTGTCGAATCTGCCCTGTGACGTCCATGACGAATCTAGAAATAAGTGAGTCATTATATAAAGAATATGTAAAATAACTCTCGTTTTCATTGTCAACGTAGCTGAAGTTATAGATATAATTCAATCTCATTTCAGGTAAGGAGCTAAAGATTCTACCATTCCAAGATCCACTAGCCCAATACTCTACACTTCTATTCCATTTAATCACATACTGTTTCTCATCTTGATCAACCTCTAAAGAAAAGGGACCCATTGCAGGATCTTCTGTACTTTTCCATGAAGTGATAATCTGCTTAGTATTTGTACGCTTGTTGTATCCCAATTTGCCACCAGGCAAGAAAGTATCGGTTGGATGATCAAAACTTTGCCAAATTGGTGTGATTGAACTTGAACTCGAATTATATCTCAAAACTAAATTACCATCATCAAGAAGAACCACTGATGCAGAGGTTGTGGGTGTAGGTGTTGGGGTTATATTTGTAGACCAAATTTGGGTGTTTGACTCATTTAAGAGCACTAAGTTACCATTGACAATTTGTAATTTAGAAGACAATGCATCGGAGATGGGTGTCTCTCTATTTGCTACCCAGACTACAGTTTCAGGAGTTGTTCTGACGTTCTTGTACCAAATTCCTATGTAAAAATTGGGAGACTGACCTGGTTTAAAGAAACCCATTTCGAAATTTCCAGCATCAGAGATAAGGGTCTGGAATCCAGACAGAACTTGATTCACAGCTAAAGTATTATTAGTTCCTGATGACAGAGAAGGAATGGAAAACAAATAGAAAAAGAAAAAGAAAAAGAGATGACGAGAAGCTATTATAATCATGCTGATTACAATATTATGATCAGCTTCTTGATATTCTGATTCCCACAAATTATGAACACCACACTTTTACAACCATTAAAAAAGCATAAGAAGGTAAGAAAAAAAATATGAACTACTAATCACCGAAAATTCAACAATAGAATTGTCAATTTCAGTCTCCCTATTTTATTTCGTTGACCCAGTCTTCTTCATCAAAACTTAACCTTTACATTTTTCAACATTGATTTCACTAGACCAGGCAATGGGGCGGGGTTGGAGCGAATCGACCTTGATCCAAACCCTTTTAACAAATTCCAAAATCCGATCCAAACCCGCTCCGTAACCCGCAGGGTTTTGAATAATCAAACCCGTATCCTTATCTACCGAATCAGTAGATATCTAAACCCGCCCCGTAACCCGTAGGTTTTTTGAATAACCAAACACATTTTACTTAAATCATAAAATCACATTTATTAAATAAATAAAATGTTGATTTAGAAAACACATTATATACTCACAGACTTTCGATTGGAATTAAAATCATTATCGTAGTTACTTCCGATTGGTTTTTGACCGTCGATTGCATTGATAGAGAATAGGAATTACAAACTTTGTTCCGGTTGATAAATGAATTTATTGATTTATAAATGAAATTGGTCATTACATGATGAAATATAAATGAAATGACATCATAATTCTTGGGAGAATACTGGAAGTCTAGAAGTTGAGTCCTCGAGTTCTATGTAAAAACAATTTAGTTTTTGGCATTTTCTCTATGAACTTTCGATTGGAATTTAAAGTAAACTTTAGGCGGTATAAACTATAAATGTATGATTCTAAAATTTATAGGGGGCGGGTTATAAATGGAGCGGATCGGTGATGATCCATACTCGACCCTTTTAATAAAAGAGTTAGCGGGTATGGGTCGTTAACGAGTAAATGGATCAAAAACTATGCTCCAAACCCGTATAATTGTTAAGGGTTTGGATCGGAGAGTCAAAACCCACTCCATTGCCAGGCCTAGATTTCACACCATCATTTAACCATTACACATTTGTCCCTGATTTCAGTATTTTTATAAATTTGGTCCAAACATTTTTATAGCTTTTTTTCCCCACGTTTGTTTGTTTTTTTTTTTTTTTTTTTAAATATTTTAGAATTTACTTTTTCTATAGAACAAAATTTCATAAATGGCCCCTGTACTTTCAGCATATATTTGGAAAACGTTGCACAGGTGATCAGTTTCAAAATTCTGTTAAGAATAGGGATTAAATACTTCTGAAATGACTTTACATTTTTTATTTTCTTTAATTTATTGGCATTAATAAATATCGCAGGGACCATTTCTGTAAAAATCTAATAAACCCTTTGGCCATCAGCCATTCATCCCAATCGGGACCATTCTTCCCTCTCCCGCTTTTGACACTCCATCATCGCCATCTTAGTCGCCAGCAACCACAACCTCTAACCCCCGCCGCCACTCCTCCACCCCTGCACCACAAAGCCACCGCCATCCCCACCCCTGCCACCCCCTTTTACGCTACAGTCGGCAAAACAGGAGTCCAATTAATAATCAACTCAAACCTTACTGCATAGTTCATGTCCTACAAATCCGATCCAACCCCAAGAACTAAATCGATTCAAGGTTCCATATTGAAAACGAAGAGGTGTGTTTCATAAATTTCATCAAACCACATGATTGGTTGGTGATGATGGATGAGAATGGAATCGATTTGAAGTCGTAGGAAATGGCATACTTAATTAGGGATGCTGAAAACAAAGGAAGTGGTTCAAGAATGGTGTTTTGCATCAAAAGGGAAAACGTTTCCTGCAGCAGAACGCCACCACCATCCCTACCCTGCTGTCTCCTTTGGGTTTGAGGGGATTTTGAAAATTGAGCCTAAAGGCTAATCAAGCATGATCATGGAATGTAGTGACTCATTCCCTTACCCTATCAACTCTGTTCCTAATATTTGTGATTAGGTGATTTGAGAGAAATTTCCAGACTTTCAAGGTATCTTTTTAATCCAAGTCCGTGATTATTTGTCTTACTATGCATTGTAGTACAATATATGATTGGTCAAGCTGTAGGCTGTAGCAACTCATCTATGCAGGGGGGTTTCTTTGCAGATACGAAATCCAACATTGGAAGAGTATCATATTTAGCAACTAATCTTATTCTATGCAAGAAAACCTTCTCATCCGCATCATGTAGTTGGAAATAGGGTGAAGGTGAAATGTGAATTGTATTAAACTTAAAGATGTTCTTTGCAGGTCATGAGGCCATTATAATCTATTATGATAAGCTTTGAGGGTACTATTATATATAATTAAATCCAACTCTTATTTACATTAATTTTTTTAGTTTGAATTTGAATATGTTTTTTATTATATAAAACAAAAAATGAAAAAGATTCCACTTTTTCTATCGGCCTTCTTCTTGAGTAATGGTCAATTGATTAATCTCTGATTTACTCGAAGTCGATGGCAACCGATCGATACTTCTTTTTGAAACAAACGCCGGTTCTTTTGGGTCCGGGAGGCTCTCAATATCCATCCCCAACATTAAAACCACATTTACCATTGTTGGTCGATCTCTAGGGTCTTCTTGTATGCACAAAAGCCCAACAATCATACATCTCAACACTTCAATGGAATTGCATGTTTCCACTAATGCCAGATCCACTAATTCCAATGGCCTTTTCGATTTCCACAAACCCCATGCCTGAAATGTATCCAAAATTAGTTTTAAAAAGCAAATGAAATGTTGAAACAAGATGAGAGTTTAAGAAAACTCACATAGGATATAAGGCTAAAGGCTTGTTGATAGTGATAATAACCCGTGTTTCTTTTCCCACTTATAATCTCAAGTATTACTACCCCAAAGCTAAAAACATCGGATTTTACCGAGAAAAATCCGTCTAGCGCGTATTCAGGAGACATATAGCCACTATATAATAAAAACTCATTGAAGAATATTAAACACAATAAAAACTAATCAAAACCCAAATAACATAATAATAATTTTTGTAGTTATCTAAACAAACAATATTGTAATTGAATCAAAATCATGAAATCCTTTTAGAAAATATTTATGTTATTAGAAATTGCTTAATCAAATGGGTTATATACAAAATTTATTCCATTCTATGATGGAATGGAAAAAGAACAAGAACAGCTAAGAAATGAAAATTAAAGAATTGGAAGAATTTCCTTCCTACAAGAATGGTTTATTCTTTCCATTCCATCATACAAAATGAACATTATTTTCATTCCTTATCCAATTCCATCATACCAAAAACACTACCTAGACTTACATAAAATTTGTTATTAGATTTGAACATAGGATTTAGATTAGTACTTACTAGGTTCCAACAACTCTAGTGGTATTATCTTCGGTTTCTCGGCCTTTAACTATCTTTGCCAAACCAAAGTCTGAAATCTTGGGATTCATATCTTCATCTAATAACACATTGCTAGCTTTCAAATCTCTATGAATAATCCTCAACCGTGAATCTTGGTGAAGATACAAAAGCCCTCGAGCAATCCCCATGATGATATCAAACCGTATATCCCAATCAAGACACACAGAAAGCGTCCTATCTGCCAAAAATCTCATCAAATCCCAAGATTTTAGATTTCAGAGTTAAAGTTGTTCACAAAATGGAAAAAGAAATTGAGAAATATGTGAAACTAACCAAAGATGAAACGGTCCAAGCTTTTATTATGCATGTATTCATAGAGTAGTATCATTTCATGATCCTTCATGCTATAACCTAAGAGCCTAACAAGATTACGATGTTGAAGTTTCCCAATTAACAACACTTCGTTTTTGAACTCCTTGAGCCCTTGTCCAGATTGGCTCGCCAACCTTTTCACTGCTACTTCACCTAATCCAGGAAGTATTCCCTAAAATAATTACCAACAACATATGATTAATCCCCAAAATCTATTTTATTCATAATTAATTTCCCTTGAGCAGTGAGAGCAACCTTTTACCAATTTAAACGTCAAATATTATTCTAGATTCCCATAAAAGTTGCAAACAATTACAAGATATTGATTTGGATTTATAAGATTCATTTAGTTTATGTATTATTGGGACCAGTTGTGTTGGAATAATGGTGTGTTTGGCAAAACTAGTTGAATGCTGTATCTTTTATTTGTGCAAAAGTGTTAGGCAAAAATAGTTGTTAGTTTTTAAAAGTGTGAAATTAGATAAAACACAAAAGCTAAATGCTCCGAAAAACGACTTGAATTAGTTTTTGGATTATGAGTTTTTTGTTTAAAATAAAAGTTTTCACTCCTACCGTTGAACTAACTTCTTTATTTTTTATTTTTTATTTTTTCAGTTTTTTCTTAAGACTAAAAGCTAAAAGCTTTTAAAGGTCCGTGTCGAACACGCCTAAGTCCAACAATTAAAGTCTCAGATTTAGGAATCCCTTCCTTCAATCAAAGATCAAATACGATTGTAGACAACACAATAGTTTTCCAAAATAGCTTCTAGTACCTTTTATAAATATGGTATTATGTTCTATGGAAGATATAGAAGAAAAATATGGGATCAGCAAAAAGGTCTTTGGCTCCCTGTTTACTTTATCAAAACAGAGAGCTAGATTTAGCTCAGCATCAATGGCCATCCTTGATAACCCCACAACATGTTTCAAACTATGTGTCTATTGAAGATCTAGACTTTCACTCAAACACCCTATATAAAAGTCAAAAGACATACAAGAAAAAGTACAATTTGACAACAGGATATGAGTATAGTTTGCTAATAAAGCTAAATTCAAGACTTGTTACCTTGTAAACAGGCCCAAATCCCCCTTGTCCAAGTTTATTTGCTAAAGAAAAATAGTCCGTGGCAGATAAAATGGTTTTGAATTCAATGAAAGGCACATCAATTCCTTTTCTATCTTCTGCACTCAATATCCCTGGATCTACCAAATATCTAACATTTCTTCCATTTTCTTGAAACTCATGTTCAAAATTTTCCCCATTATCTCTGCTTCCTGATTAAATCACATACACTAATTAACATTAAATAAAGAAGACCAAATATCCTTTTATTTAAAAAGGAAACAAGCAAAGCATTTATACCTTGTCTTTTCACCCTTCTGTAGAATATAATGCCAATGCTGCAAAGAAACACAAGACCACAAAACCCTGAAACGATTCCTGTGATTGAAAAGAAAGATTGTATACATTACATGGGTAAAAATGACAAGAAAATGGGTGATTAAGATTAAACCAGCTTAAAATTACCTGCTACTAGCACTTTGGTCTTGATTTTTGTACTACTGCTCTGAAGATCTGATGAAGAAACTTTAATGTTGACTGGAAATGTCCTACTATTAGCATCATCAGAAACAAATAGAAGTGATACATTATTCAGATTTTCACTGTTCCAAAGTCGACATATTTTCAAGATAAAACTATACGCATCACAGCTGCAGTCATCCATGCAAGATCTTCTGCATGCCGACTCATCCAATTCCGATTTTGGAGTTTCAGATTCCGGAGTTTCAGTTTCAAGAAATGTGGAAAGATAACTGACTGGGACATAACCTTGAATAAACCCAGGTTTTTCTTCCTTAATTCCACAATTGGATTCCGTTCTTCTCACACACCCACCAGAGAAATCACTCAGATTCCAATCATTCAGTGATTTAGGCACAAAAGCAGTCAAGCAACTACAGAAAGGTAATCCCGTTTGACTACAAATACCAAAAGGCCCACAAAAAGCATGCACCTGACACTGTGATCTAGGTTGAGTCCAAAAGAGATTCCACTGATCGAGACTTTCCAAGTAGGTCTGCTGTTGAATCTGCCCAGAGACATCCATAATCAGTCTTGAAATAATTGATGGATTATATAAAGAATATGTAAAATAACTCTCGTTTTCATTGTCAATGTAGCTGAAGTTAAAGATATAATTCAATCGCATTTCAGGTAAGGAGCTAAAGATTCTACCATTCCAAGATCCACTAGCCCAATACTCTACACTTCTATTCCATTTAATCACATACTGTTTCTCATCTTGATCAACCTCTAAAGAAAAGGGACCCATTGCTGGATCTTCTGTACTTTTCCAAGAAGTGATAATCTGCTTTGTGTTTGTACGCTTGTTGTATCCAAACTTGCCACCAGGCAAGAAAGTATTGGTTGGATGATCGAAACTTTGCCAAATTGGTGTGATTGAAATTGAACTTGAATCATATCTCAAAACTAAATTACCATCATCAAGAAGAACTGCTGATGTTGAAGTTGTAGGTGCTGGGGTTAGATTTGTTGACCAAATTTGGGTGTTTGACTCATCTAAGAGCACTAAGTTACCATTTACAATTTGTAATTTAGAAGATAATATATTGGAAATGGGTGTATCTCTATTTGCTACCCAGACTATGGTTCTTGTTTTGACTTTCTTGTACCAAATTCCTATGTAATAGGTGGAAGACTCACCTGGTTTAAAGAAACCCAATTCAAAAGTTTCAGCAAGAGAGATAAGGGTCTGGTTTCCAGAGAGAGATTGATCCACGGATAAAGTGTTAGCTCCAGATGAGAGAGAAGGAATATAAAACAAATAGAAAAAGAAAAAGAAAAAGAAAAAGAGATGAGAAGCTATTAGAATCATGCTTTATTATGTTTAGCTTCTGCATATGTTGATTCCCAGAAGTAATGAACAGCATAATCAGACAAACTTAAAAGGCAAAACAAATAGTCAACTGAGGACTTGAGAAAATTGATTATTATATGAGTAGAGCATAAATGAATCATTCAATAAGTCAATGCACACATCACATGGTGTTTTTTAAGGCTTTTATTATATATGTTTGTCATTTCGTCAATCAGTATGTCTCCATCTCCATCTTCATCGTCACCGGTCTTTTAACAGAATTATTAAAGAAACAAAAATTATCAGCCAAATATATAAAAGTTATAAGAAGATAATAAAATCAACCAAATACTAATTAAAGAAAATTCAACCTTTTGGTTGCCATTTTCATACTCTTTATTATTATTATTATTTTTTTGACCCAGTCTTAACATTCGATATATTTTCTCTTTATATCACTAAAACTTCATAATAACAATACAAATCATCATAAACAAAAACTAAATTATAAGGAATGGGATTAGGCTTTGTGAACTGTCAAAGATCACTCTTGTTGTATTCCTCATTCAATTTCATATTTCCAACCGAATGGTTTGTGCAATAGGTTTTTTCAATTCATTATTTAGTCTACATTTTCGGTATATTTTTCAATTCATTATTTAGTCTACATTTTAGGTAATATCAATTCATTATTTAGTCTATATTTTTGTTATTATCATTACATCACTACAATAGCAATACGTTTTCAAATATGGTTCCCAATTACACATCAATAATTAATTTATATTTTTAACAAATCTTTGATCTATTTATAGTATCTAATAATTCAATAAAAATATTTAACTCAATTAATTTTTTCAATATTTAAATAGTCTTGTCATTTACCATCTCTGCCATTAGATGCAGTAGCCGGATGGTGGTGACAGTGGTCGGAGTCGACCAGGGACAAGAATTCTTCACATTTGATAACCCAAACATCCTGATTTCATATTTCTATCAAAAGCTCTAAACCTAAGTTGAAATTGGTACATGGAAAACATGAAGTTGATTGGAATTCTTGATATGGGATATTGTTTGAAGTTATGAACCTTGATTGATGTTAAGTTGATATTATAAGGGAAACAAGAGTATGTAAGTTGATAATCAAAGGGTTGGATATATTTGACTATTATATGAAGTCAAACAATTACCTGAAACCAAAACTGCAAACCGTAAGCATGGAGCTTAGTGAGTTCCCCCAACACACCACATAATAACATACTGCTAGGAATATCTGGGTGCCCGACCTACCCTGTCAGGCATATCTGGGTGCCCGACCTACCCTGTCAAGCATATCTGGGTGCTCGACCTACCTTCCGGTTTATTTCAACCAGTTACGGGGACTATTTCACCCCTACCACTACCACATAATACATACCATAAACATACAGTCATACATAACTATGAGCTATACATATCATTCACATATCATAATCAAATAAAATGCTATGTGCCAAAACATAGTCTTGCCATTATGCCACGGGCCGCCACGTGGTCTTTGTTGCCAAGCCGGGGGCCACCCCCTGGGTCTTATAGACAAGTGCCAAGAGCCACCTCCTGGTCTTCCATGCAAGTATCACAAAGACAACTAGCATATATATTATTCTACTTAGCTTATTAGCATACAGTGTGCCAGGAGCCACCTCCTGGTCTTTCATACGTATTGCCTAGGGCTAACCCCCAGGTCTTCCTAACATACATAAACTAAATGGGCAGGCATTGGAGCCTTAGACCCGTACAAACAGTGAGGAGACTCACGTCGCACTGCTGGAATCCCGCGAATAGAGCTGTGGCTGCTGGCTGATAGATTCCCGAATCTGTCAACATCAAAATAACACCCAATTAATAATTGGGTTCCAACTCGTAACCATACGTACATACTTGGGGTAAATACTACATTACCCCTAACTTAGCTTTATCAAATCCCAAGGCCCAATCAAAAGTCCCAAAAGTCCACTATGAGTCAAAGCCCAACATATGGCCCAATTTTCCAAACTGGGCCCAAACCTTTGCTTGGCCTTATTCTAAGGCCCAACCAAAAAGTCCAGTCCAACATTTGGTATTTCTAATGGCCCAAAATCTCATAATCATAAAGGCCCAAACTATGGCCCATGTATGGCCCAATTTTCCAAATTGGGCCCAAACCCCTTACATGGGCCTTACCCTAGGCCCATTAAAATTTTCTAGCCCATTTGCTTGTTCTTGGATAGCCCATTATTATCCCAATCACCAAAGCCCAATATAAAGGCCCAACTTAAGGCCCAAGTGAGATTAGGGTTTCATATAAAATGACAATTAGGGTTAAGTGTTTCTCACTTAACCCATTAAGGACTTAATCCATTAAGTCCCACATGGCCTTAGGTTAATTTGCAATGATTATTAATTAATATTTTAAGTTCATTAAATAATTCCGATGCGGTCCCGATAAGTCCCAAATTAGGGTTTCATGGCGTTAGGGTTTTCCAAACCCTAATTAGGGTTTCCAACTCATATTAGCCCAATAGGCCCAATAGCTAGGTCCTTTGACCAATTTGGGTTCATTAGGCCCATTATGATATCACTAGGCCCATTAGGGCTTCATTGGGCCCATTATGATTCCACTAGGCTCATTAGGGCTTTATTGGGCCCATTAGGGTTTCGAGCATCCCAATCGAATCAACACAACAAGGCAAAGCACACCGCCACCCGACACGGCGACCGGTGGCAGCAGCCACCACCTCACGGTAGAGGTTTTGAGTTTCTTTCCATTATTCCATTTTTGTTACAATTTACAATGCCAATCTCCAAAATAAACACACACACACACTAATGCTAAATACACACACAACCACCCTTGTGGTGGCCGGTGGTGGTAAGTGGTGGCAGCCACCACCTCACGGTGGTAGCGGTGGCTTTTACGACCAAACCAACTACACATACGACACACACTATAACCGAAACGAAACCCACACATTTTCTGTCTTGCAAACAGATCCAGCTACCCAACTGGTGGCTCCCAGCGGCGACAACAGCGATACTAACGTCCACAGCGGCGGCACAACGGCGGTTGCAATGTATCGGCGGAAAAGGAAGGGCGACGACGACTGTAGGGCAACCATCGATTGAACGACGGCAGCAGTACACGCATTATCGTTTCCCGACTCGCACGACAACGAACGTGACTGCTTCTCCGATCATGGCGGCTCTCCGATCGCACACATCGTCTCCATCAGCAGGTTGCAGTGGCTGCACTTCGATGGCAAGGTGGCCGCTAGGCGGCTTGGAGCACACAATGCTGGAATATTCCGGTGCTCCTCCGACGATCTGTGACCTCGACAACGGAGTAGCGGCGGCCAAAAGGTGGCGAAGGGATGATGGCGGCAAGCACGAAATCAGTTTCGCCGGTCTCCAACCGGTACAGCTTCACTCGACCTTTCTCGGTGGTTATCCACGGTTAGACACGTCGTCCGGCAGTGGTGATGACATCCCGATGGCGAAGTGGCTAATGGAATGGTGGCGGCGGCTGGATGAGAAGGGGGAGAGGTGGCGGCTGCTGCTACCGTTTAGGGTTAGGGTTGGTATTAGGGGGTGACGGGTTTAAATACCCCGATCCCCTTAACTAGTTTTCCATAATGTCAAAAGTAGTACCTCCTCTCCCCATTTCTATAAAAATAAATCCAATATTTACCATTTAAACCCTCAGTATTAAAATCCATTACAACTTAGGTATGAAATTTACCAAACATCCCCTATCCTCTAAAATCTCTTCAAATGAAGTCCCATAAATTCCCATTTAGTCCCTGCCTTCATAAATACTTACAAAACCAATCCGGAATTATATTTTTAACCCCCAATCTCTTAAATTGTGGCATTTAGCTCCTCGAGACCCACACCTTGCTATATAATTATTGATTTTAGGGCTACTATACAATCATTAATTTGTTTATTTAATTATTAAATAAACGGGGTGTTACAACTCTCCCCCACTTAAATTACATTTTGTCCTCGAAATCATTCCTTACCATTTCTTATGCCCCATACCACTCAAGTAATATGGTTACCATCCTGAGTACACCCTAGCTTTCCCAGGGTAGCCGTGACCAATCTTCGCAAAGCCCTAAAATCCGCAGGTGAACGAATTCCTCGCAATGAGTTCACATCTACTCCGTCTAAAATCTGTTGTCTTGAGATGGTCTGAATCCCTGACAGACCACTCATACTGAATCATTATTGTTGAATCCAGTCCGTTTATCCCTCAACTGACTACTTAACTTCTGATAGCCTGTGGCTCCCACTAGAAAAATTAAATCACAGACCCAATTATCCCTGCAGGTCATTTAGTATAACCCAAGCAATCTATTATTCCGTCCGAACTTGCAACCTAAACACAAATACTAATACTGCCAATCGCTGGAACCGTCCAAACATTAAACTGCCTGAAGTAGTATGCTGCCACATGGCTGCTTGCCAAAATCTACCGAGACCTCCCTGGTCTCAATTCGTTCACCAATCATCTGAAATACCGGGTTCCGGCCCGGCTGCGAAGCCAAAGGACTCCCCACTTAGTCGCCTCACACGACTTCTGAACAAAATCCTTCTCTTGAACTAGTTGCCACTAGTTATCATGCCACTGCGACTCTACTACTTTCTGATCTAACCGATCGGGTCCATGCGTCGAATCCTGTCCTCATCAAATCCAAAACTAAAAGTGATTGCTACCTGACCAATGGTAGCGTTATATCACGAACGACCTTAAGCAGTCCACTGCTTCCTTGATCTCATATCCGTAGTGGCATTCCAACGGTCGTGTCGCTGGCTCAACCAGATCTAATCCATTTGGGTAATCCCGAAATCCAATCCGTGGATTTCCATATCCTCACTGCTGCACCCGAACTGGTGGGTACTACTGTTCCTTCCGCGTCCTAACAACACACTCATGCTATCTACCAACCTAGTGAATGTTGCGGCTACACCCACAGTCTTACATCACTGTAGCACTATCTGCTA